GTGCGAGTGGGCGGGCCCGCGTGTCCGGCCGGCTGTGTCCCAGAGGAGCGGAAGTGGACGCCACGGCGGCGGGCGGCGCGGCCGCGGGCGGAGGTCCCCCCAGGTGAGTGAGTGAACGTGGCCGCCCCGTGGCCACACTGTGGTCGCGCGCGGATAGAACGGTGATCATGGCAGGCTGCCACCACTGCACTTCAACTTCAATTGGTGGCAGAGCGAAAATCTGACCAGTGGGGGGAATGGACCATTCCGATTCAGCTGAAAGGAAGAAAAATAAGGGAAACAAGATAACGGAAACATGCTATAACACGATGACTTCTGTTTTCTTGTTTCCCGCATTCTTCCTCTTCTCAGCTTTCCCTCGATGGTTTATTTCGTGGGTCAGTTTGGGTCGGTCGCCACTGCCTTTGGCGCGTCATGGCTTGCAACGGAGAGTGGCAGTGCGTGTGCGCGAGTTCTCTGCAGTCACCCTCCTCGTCGCGGTCCTATTTGAGGTACCATCAAGTCATATGCACAACTCCGTGCTGCAGACTCAGTGGCGTGCCGTGCCCTCCGAGACCCCGCGCCGCCCGCGCGCCCCGTCTTTCTCACAGACCTCGGTATCGGCGGGCGATAGTGCGCCACCAAATACTCTTCGTTTTTCCGGACACTGCTCGGGCCAGGTGGTTGCGCCGTGTGTTTGGTGGGGCGGGGCAGGGCGGGGCCGAGATACGCGCCATTGAGTCACTACACCGCTGCGCCAGCGCTGCGCAGGGCAGGCCAGCCCGAGCCAGCCCGTCCCGTGCCGAGGCTAGGTCAATCGTCAATCCGATCGGGATCTTTCGGGGAAGCCGAGCCGAGGGGGGCAGCGACTGATAAGAGGCCCCAGCCGAGGTGAGAACCCCAAGGGAGGCATCCTCCTCGTCCCGCCTATAAGGCCTCGGCGGCGACGCTTACAATAAATGTGACCATCGAAACCGATCGAATATTATCGGGAGATTGAGAAAGGAGTGTCATTCCTGAAGGAACTTGGCTCGCCCGAGTAGGAAGCGAAAGGCAGCCGCCACGCGGACCACCTCACGAGATGGGCTGGTACGGAGCTTTCAGAACGCGCTTTTATAGTGAGTCGGCGGTGGCTTTGAACTGTTTTGAACAATCTCATGACAACCCTGGCTGCCCCGAGCTGACCGACCCTCGTCCAGACCGGTGAGCTTGGAGCGAGGGGTGGGCAGCGCGAGCGCGGGAGCGGGCCTCGTTCGGTTCGGTGGCGCCTGGCGCCGCGCGGGCGTAGCGCCTCTCGTTGAGCTCTCCGCGGCGGAGCGGCCCACGGGGTCGCCGCGCGCGCGCCCTTGCATCCATTCGATGATGCATTTTATCCGATTTATTCTAACGGAGTCTGTGATTGTGTCTCGATTGTCGATGATAACAATAAGGAAATTCAAATAATTTGATATTTAAATAAAAAGTGAAATTTTAACATCTCGTGTACCAGGCGTTAGGTTTCGAAAAGTTGTTCACTGTGGCTAGGTGTTCTCTGTTGACCCCTTGGCGTTTGTAGCCCCACATTGGAGTTTTTATTGTTTGAGTTGTGTCAAGTTTCCTATGTTATACTCGTTCTTAACTATTACCATATCAAGGTTCTTTGAGGACTTCGTGTTTTGAAATAATGCGATTATTGTTATCAGTGCCGGGTAATTCAGAGATGCCTTTTCATCTCAGTCAGTGTGTCGGGGACATAACAGTATGTGGGTTTGCCTCCCACGAATCATAGCGTAGTGTTTTCGATCGGACGGGAAAGACCTAAAATTCTAGCCAGACTCCATCCAAAACTTAGGTGTAATTTCGGGCGGACTAAAATTCTTAGGCCGCACTCACCCTATAGAATGAGGTCAATGACATTTAGTGGTTTTGGTGACTGGTTTGATGTCATTTGATGTCAAGAGGACATCAAAGCAGGCAATCGAAATGACTAAATCCATCTCTTTCATGTCATTTTAACAAAATCCTCTTGCGGATGGGATGCCCCATATACAAGGTGGTGGGTTAGTCCCTTTCTTACTTTTGGTTTTACTGTACCGGATGCAGACGTGCGGATGGGTTGCATAGTCACACGGCGTTGTAAGGCGCTGCCTCGGGGAGCGACTATTGGCGGCACGCCTGCCTGCACCCGGTACAGTATAACAAAAAATAAAGAACGGAGCTGACCGACCACCCCGTATTTATTGAAAAGATATAACTAATTATGGGGAGACATTATCCGACTATTGGTTTTAAAACAAATCGGGTAGCGTTTTACTATAGCTCTGTTCTCTTGACCTAGGTCTGCTTTCGTAAACAAAATAACGATTACTCTCTTTGGAGCGGTTATCATTGCGCAGCGGCGCGGGTGGTAATCGTTTTCAAATCAATTCCACGATCCTATACGCGACCATTCTTTCCTCGTGTGATTCTCTCAGTACTGCTTATATTCGAGTCTCTCTCTTTTTTTGGTGGGCTCGTTGGCTCGTTGTGGTTGGTAGGGGACCACCTCCACACCACCCGCCACCACCACACCA